TTTCTTAACTTGTTAATCTCACTCCAAAACTTTTTCTTATTTTCAACAAAATTTGTGATAACATCTCACCCACTCTCTCATTTGCCTTTTTTTTACATTGCTTCACCACTCTCTTAACCTCTCTCTTTTTCTCCATATACTCTTCCCTCCTTGCATCACTTCTACTTTGTAAAAACTTCTCATATGCTAACTTTTTCTCCCTTACTACTCTCTTTACATCATCATTCCACCAATCGCTCCTCTTCCCTCCTGCACCCACTTTCCTGTAACCACAAACTTCTGCTGAACACTCTAACACTACATTTTTAAACCTAACCCATACCTCTTCGACCCCATTGCCTATGCTCTCATTAGCCCATCTATCCTCCAATAGCTGTTTATATCTTACCCTAACTGCCTCCTCTTTTAGTTTATAAACCTTCACCTCTCTCTTCCCTGATGCTTCTATTCTCCTTGTATCCCATCTACCTTTTACTCTCAGTGTAGCTACAACTAGAAAGTGATCTGATATATCTGTGGCCCCTCTATAAACATGTACATCCTGAAGTCTACTCAACAGTCTTTTATCTACCAATACATAATCCAACAAACTACTGTCATTTTGCCCTACATCATATCGTGTATACTTATTTATCCTCTTTTTCTTAAAATATGTATTACCTATAACTAAACCCCTTTCTATACAAAGTTCAATCAAAGGGCTCCCATTATCATTTACACCTGGCACCCCAAACTTACCTACCACACCCTCTCTAAAAGTTTCTCCTACTTTAGCATTCAGGTCCCCTACCACAATTACTCTCTCACTTGGTTCAAAGGCTCCTATACATTCACTTAACATCTCCCAAAATCTCTCTCTCTCCTCTGCATTCCTCTCTTCTCCAGGTGCATACACGCTTATTATGACCCACTTCTCGCATCCAACCTTTACTTTAATCCACATAATTCTTGAATTTACACATTCATATTCTCTTTTCTCCTTCCATAACTGATCATTTAACATTACTGCTACCCCTTCCTTTGCTCTAACTCTCTCAGATACTCCAGATTTAATCCCATTTATTTCCCCCCACTGAAACTCTCCTATCCCCTTCAGCTTTGTTTCGCTTAGAGCCAGGACATCCAACTTCTTTTCATTCATAACATCAGCAATCATCTGTTTCTTGTCATCCGCACTACATCCACGCACATTTAAGCATCCCAGTTTTATAAAGTTTTTCTTCTTCTCTTTTTTAGTAAATGTATACAGGAGAAGGGGTTACTAGCCCATTGCTCCCGGCATTTTAGTTGCCTCATACGACACGCATGGCTTACGGAGGAAAGATTCTTTTCCACTTCCCCATGGACAATAGAAGAAATAAAAAAGAACAAGAGCTATTTAGAAAAAGGAGAAAAACCTAGATGTATGTATATATATATATGCATGTGCGTGTCTGTGAAGTGTGACCAAAGTGTAAGTAGGAGTAGCAAGATATCCCTGTTATCTAGCGTGTTTATGAGACAGAAAAAGAAAAAGAAACCAGCAATCCTACCATCATGCAAAACAGTTACAGGTTTTTGTTTCACAGTCATCTGGCAGGACGGTAGTACTTCCCTGGGTGGTTGCTGTCTACCAACCTACTACCTTTATGACTTTCCTAAACTGTTTCACAACAGTGTCAGTGTAATAGTCACCAGCACAGCTTGCAATAGCTGTCTGAGGGTGATTTTCATCCATGAAGGTTTGCACTTCAAGCCACTTTGCACAAATTTTCTTAATCTTTGAAGTAGGCAACTTCTTCAATTTCTCTCTCCGAACTGGCAGCCTCACCATGCCTTATCACACTGTGTATGCCACTACGCCTCTTAAATCTCTCAAACCAACCTTTGCTGGCCTTAAATTCACTCGCATCACCACTAGTTGCAGGCATTTTTCTAATTAAATCCTCGTGCAACTTCCTAGTCTTTTCACTTATGATCGCTTGAGAGATGCTATCGCCTGCTATCTGTTTTTCATTTACCCACACCAATAACAGTTTCTCAACATCTTCTATCACTTGCGATCTGTTTCGAAAACACAGTTGAACCTTTTGCAAGAACAGCTTCCTTGATTGCTGTTTTGTTGGCCAAGATAGTAGCGATGGTTGATTGGGGTTTGGTATACAACCTGGCCAGCTCCGAGACACGCACTCCACTTTCGTACTTGGCTATTATCTCTTTCATTTCCATAGTAATTTTCACCCTTTTTACCACAGGGTTGGCACTAGAAGCTTTCTTGGGGCCCATGGTGACTTATTTTGCAGCTACAAGCACTAAAAACACTGTGATAATATGAAATGTACCGAGTGTATGCTTAGATGCGACCACACTGGCTGGATTGTAAACACTGGCACGCACGGGGCAGCTGAGGCCACATGGGACGCGTCCCGGACGAATCACGTGAGGCGAGGCAAAATTTTTGCGTTCGAATGCTTCGTATGGCGGATTTAACGTAACGCGATGTGTTCGTAAGGCGGGGATCCACTGTACTTTTAATAACTATAGTGATATCACACATCTTTATCTAAGGTCATTTTTACTGGAAATTATTCCTCTTCTCTACATGCTGTACATACCTTACTATCTTAGCCTTACTCTTCATAAAAACTACAGCTTCTAAGAACCTAACACACACACACACACACACACGCACACGCACATGCCTAGGACAAAATGGTAACTAACACACACACACACACACACACACACACACACACACCAACCAACCATACTTTTGCAATACTAACCACATCATTTCCCTATTCACTTCATTGCATGCTGTTCACAAATCTATAAGCACATCAAACTGCTCCTTTTTCAATATTTCATCACAAACATTTGATTCACACCTGCTCTACACTTATTAAATGCACCATGTTCCTTTGCAATCATATACTGTACCCACATACAATATACTGTATTATATTTATATATGGTCACATTCTAAGGCCACAATTAAAGATTTTAACACTGATAAGATACTGATGTAATAAAGATTGGAGGCTTATTAAAAATTATGTAATTATATGGTAAACCATGATTTAATTTTGTATTCCATTTATATAATGTGTGTAAAATTATGAAATAAGCTTTTATGTTTTGAAAAAAAGTTCAAATAAATGTCTGTTCCTCTGCTCTGAGAATTTTGCACTGTATATTTATGAAAACCAAAAATAGTACAGGTACAGTTAATTATTATAATCATTACTAAGCACTAAACCCACAAGGGTCATAGTGATTTTGAACAATATTGAAAACTTCACAAATTTGCAAAGATTGTAAGTCTTTTTATGAGCTCAGATTATTCTCTTAAAACTAGAAATTGATGTGAAGAAATTGTAGAAAAAAGCCTGTATTATATAGCTTTCATTGAAGGTTAAAATAGCTTTGATAAAAAAACAAAAACAAATTCTAATGTATGTCTGTTCCCCTGCTCCTGTTAGGGTTAAAATTTTGATAAACATTCTAATATTAATATCTAGTTCTCTGCCCCTACAAGGGGACCTCACACTTATAAAGTTTGATGGAAAAGCAAATGGCTGTTGTAATATAAATAATAATAATATTCAGAAATTGCTCCTTTTCTTCATCACTTACGCATATAATATTTATAAGACTCGCCTCTTCATTTTCAGTAATGGAGACTTTTTTTCTCCCATACTTGCTTTTCCTATGGCTTATACATGTGTAATTTCTAACCAAGTTCTCTTCTTGATACTTCCCAGTAAGAGAACCTCTCCCAGTCTTAACCCTGTATCCCTGAGTATTTCGTATGTCAAGATAAAATTAATTCCTTCTCTTAGGTGTTACAGACATAAGCTTAGTTCAAGTAAGCTTTCTTCATAGCCCAGGTTTCCTTAACTCGTGCACCAGTTTATGCATTCCTTTGGAGTTTATAAATTTGCGATAAAATAAGAACATTATCACTGACAATAAAGTACAGTACTATATGTGAATTTCCTCTCAAGAGATATTCTTTGATGTTGGTGATGGGCTTTTGATCCCAGAATTTGCACCTGATCTCTCCCTTCTTGGATATGATCTGATTGCCTCCCATTTGCTTGTATAGTACTGCCCTTTCTCCATGAAAGTAATAATGTATGTGAATTTTGTGGATAGGTGTTTGAGGTTTTACATGAAATGAACACCGATTTGACTGGTACTAACAACGTGTTAATGTAGTGATTCAAGTTCAGTACAGTGTATTAATATATTCATGTAAAAATTCATTGTTAGAATTTGACCATTATTGCATATTAATCATTGTGAATTGCAGAGCCTATTTATCTACCTCCCCCTTCAAGGGAGGTGGCTTGATGTCAGCAAGGGGCTCTTGATTCAAGGAATGGGACTTCACCTCCCCTTCCTTGAATCGAACCTGAATGCCTCCCATTCCCAAGGCACTATGATTCCTACAGGTTTAGTGCTTCCTCATGAGTAAAATGAAATTTCTCTACCTCCCACCTTTCTAAATTTTGTTTCCTTTCCTATTTTAAACTTGACCTGAACTGTTGGGATTTATGCCTAAAGTATGCTTGCATTCTTTGTAACATCTCAAGAGTGCCTTATTTTGTAGGCATGGTTACTTGTGCATGGGTAGCTTTGCTTATTGTCTTTTGATCATGTGTTCTGCCTGTTCATCCTCAGATAACATGACCAAATTCCTCCAGAAGATAATGGTGGTGGTTCGACCAAGTACTTCATAGGTATAAAGGTGTCTTAGTTACTTGTGCTTCTATAGTGTCTTGAAAAACTTCATTATCTTTAGCTTTCAAATTTTGTTATATTTTTTAATCTCTGAAAATGTTAAAGTTATCTGAAATTTATTGATTTTCTTTTAATTATAGTGTATAGTAATCTCTCTTATAGTAAAGTGAAATTATTCTAATGAAATATTTATATTTTGATAAAAGTAAATATAAATAATTTTAAAGATATGATTAATATTACAGAAGTAACTAACATTATCAAATATTCCACAGATAACTTAAATATAGTACTGCAAAAGGTGATGATGGTCTGCCAACCAGAAAAAGCTGCAAGTCTGTGAAGAGCAACACGTTCCTTCGAAAGGCTAAGGATTCTCTAAGAAAATTACACAGAGAGAACATTTAACTTGCTGTAACAAGTACTCTCTTATTTTCTGGCAAACTGTTTTATTCCTGTGAAATTATCGATTTTAATTATTTTGTCTAGCTATGCTTTACTTTCAACTGGTGGCATATTTGTAAGAGATGGGACAAAGAAATCCTCTCACAGTGAACTAAATAACACTACTTACAACAAACAGATGATTCAATGCTTTTATCACTTTTCCACTGGGAATTGGGAGAGATGAATATTTTGTAAGTAAATAGTATCTTGAGTGCTGTGACAGGGGAGTGGGATTACATTACATGCCACTAAATATAATGTAGACAAGGACTTCTGCTTTAGTTTTTTGCACCAAGTAGGCTTTGATAATTTTTATAATACAGTATGAAAACCTTTGTATAGTTGATTACATTTAAGAAATGTGTGTTTACATAATTACTGGGATAATAAATGATGTAAATGATCTTGGAGTAGGAACAGTTGCAGTTATGTAGATTTACTGTGATATATACTTGTTTTCCATTTATTCTAGAAAAGGAAATTTAATTGATCAAAGAAGCGTTCTCGTGTACGTATTATATTGGGAATGATAATTTACACCCACTATTGTCAGAGTTAAAAAAATAAACTGCTGCCATATGTGGCTGGATTGAGGGGCTATGGTGTGCAGCTCACTTGAACTTCCACATGTCTGAGTTACATTTATAAATTAAGATTTAGGAACCTTTTAAATATGAATAAATCTCCTCAGTATTCAGCTACATAGTAGCATTTACGGTATGTAATTTTCTAGATTAATACTATTTCATCAAGTACATTTTAAATTTACTATGGATATTTTTTGATCATAAATGTTTTACAGCAAACTGTAGCCATTTATGACACAGAACTATTTGAATTTTGCATCCAGTAATAATTATGACAGTCTCTCTCTCTCTCTCTTTCTGCAAAAAATAACAAACAGTTTGATTTTTTTCAAGACAGGTTTTCAACTTGTTTAAATTTGATACTATAGATCTGAAACAGGTTTCTTAGTTGCAAGATATGTGACCAATTTCATTATATTTTCTAACAGGTGCCACAAGAATATGGCAAGATATTTTAAAAACTATGAAGGGATTTGCTTTATTTTCGCATTGTCATGAGATTTAGATGTACCAGGATCTATGTCTAAAACACAACTCTTGGAAACTTTCATTTGTTTAAAATTTTATATTATATTTAGATAGTATACCATATTCAAGGAATAAGATATCTCTCCTTTGACCACATTTATGCTGTTTAACTCTCACTACTAAGGGCCTGCTCCTGCAGTCTGATAAAATATTTAAATTTTTATGCTTCTTTCTCAGATATACTTGTTTATGTAAAACAATCTTTTTATGCAGTATTTTATAAATTATTTAAATTTCAACCTACACCAAAATAGCAATTCATTTGTTTTTCTGTTGCATATTTGTCAGTTGTAGATGTGGAGACTATAACAAACCTGCATGATGAAATTCTTGCATATGCCACTCTGTTCCTACTGGTAATGTAGGTAGGTCAATAAGCATATTACACTGGACATTAAAAGATAAGGGTAATACCAATATTCTGTAAAATATTAAAAAGCTGTAAGAGAGAAATGATATTTTGGTAAAATATTTATCTTTTTTTTTTATCAACATCAGTTAGTACTGTAATTCTGTATTTTGTATTTATATGAAATCAGTAACCATATATAATTTTTTTTTATCAAGAGTTCCTTGATAATCAGTTTGTGGTCAGCAAGATATAAATATCCTCATTATTCAGAATCTAATAATTAAAAGATAACTACTGGTTTGAAATATTCAGTATATTTTTATATTACAACTCATATTTACATGAATTATGACAGAGGGGTAAATAAAAAAAAAAAAATGGAACTGAATATTTGAATGTACTGCGTTTGTCATACGTTACTGGGACCATTGTTTACATGCTGGAGGATGTTTGAGCAAGAGTGATTGGATAGTTCTGATGTACTGTGTATACAAAACCACACTATAGACATTCAAATAACTGCAAAATTGGTATGTTATTTCTTTACAAAGTTTTAACTGGGACTTCGTGGGGATCTGAGATTTGCTTTGTCTGTAAAGTAATGAATTGGTAACTATTGAAATATGTTATGACACTGTGAACTATCCTCATGCCTACATTTGAATATATTACTGTATGGCAGATAATACAGTATTCTCTTGACAGATACAAATACAGTGCAGCTTTCATCTACTAGTCAAGTGCCATAATTTAGCAAATTTGATACCTAGATAAGTTTGACGTATGCATATTATGGAGAACAAGAGCATGTTTGCTACTGAATTACATTTTTAACACCAAGTGTAGGGAGTAGGATTAGTTGAAGGCTTGAACAATTTTTCTCGCACATCCCTACCCTTCCCACACCGCTGCCTAAACGGCTGAGACTTGTATGATAGTTTCTACCTACCTGCAGGTTTAGTGCATAAAGCAGATATGTTAAAGGTTAAGTATGTAACTATAAACCAGATGCAAATGTTATATCCAACATTGTAGATTTATTACCAATGCCTTTGCATATATGCTCTTGTAGGTGGAAGCCATTTGTGACAAAGGCTAGTTTCTAAAAACTATAAAATATTCATGAAATAAGCTTTTAAAAGAGAAGGTGGTTGTAAATACCAGAAAGCTTACATTCAGTTTTATATAAAAATTAATTTAAAATTATGTTTAGTTTCACATTAAAAACTAATAAACCTGTTGGGTGATGCAGGATAGGAAATGCAAAGTAAAAGAGCAAAGCATTACTACAGTTAAGTTGTTCTAAATCGTTTATTTCACCTTTTCAACTCCTTTATAAATCTGGTTTCTTTTTTATTATAATAATAAAAAATCTGGTTGAAATATTTTTTTTTTTCAAGAGTTGAACATAGTCAAAGTTATTCACTGAATTTCTAATAGCCTATTAAGTGCAATTTGAAGAAAGTCTTCCATCACATTTAAATGTTAGCTGCTGAGAGCTGTTTTGCTGTCTGTCAAAAGTGTGTAAGTTGCCATTTACACATTTACAAATGATGCCTCATATAGTCCCAAAGTCAATGGAGGATGTGATGCATGGTTGTTGCAACTGCCAATGCCAGTGATAAAATACAGCTGTCAATTTGTTCACTAAGACTATTTACCAAGTTAAATTTGATTCAAGTTATCATTTTAACACACATATTTAACAAATATTTAGAACTGTAACTTGATTTCTAAAGGCAAGAACTGCCATGTTTATACATACATCTGGCATATCCTTCATTGTTGCAGAGGCAAAGGTAGTGTAAATAACTCAGTCATGTAAAGATATTTAGTAATGTATAGGGCAATTTATGTGATACTGAGAGGGTGTGAGAGTGAGATAGTGAGTGTGAGAAAGTATGAGTGTGTGTGCATGTGAGAGTGCACACTATACATCATATAAATACATACATGTATGTATATATATGATATGCATATATATACATGTATGCATATATATACTGTACACTTGCATATGCACACACGTGCAAAAAAAAAGTTTTGTTAAATATATGTAAATGTCATTCTTTGGTGTGTAATTCCATATGTCAATACTGGCTCTTCTTGAGGCCAGGCACCCTATGAAAACCAGTGTTTGTGTTGTTGGTATAGCAAAAGCCTTGATATATTATACAAATGTCTTAACTCTCTGGTAAAACAGACTTTTATCTTCTTGTTGAGAGTGGTAATAGAGGCATTGTAAGTATTGTACTAGGAAAGTTTTATGGGTATCTGTATATTGTCATTTCTGTGCTAGTAGGCAAAGTACCATTTCAATAATTTTTAGATTTAATATACTGGTAACCAAAATATGAGGAGCTGAACTCTGTTGTGGTATATGTTAGTGAGCTTCAAAGCTGCTCATCATTAGCCCTTAAAACAATACATGGTAGGGAACCTTGCCACCAATGTGGTGGGCAGTCTTTTTATGAAATTTAAAGCATTTAAAATACTGTAGTACAGAAAAATTTATATATTTATAAAAATAGGAATAATTACCTTAATAATAGTGAAAAAGTTACAGGCCTGAAGTGATAGTTTCACATTTGCACCCAAATATTTATTATATATACAAAGTTTGTTAATGGGTTTAGTTTTTTTTGTAATAGCTACTATTGTAGCTTTAAATAAGTAATCATGTGTGTTTCATTGCGAAAAAAACCCTTTGGCAGTGAAATTACAACACATTAACATATCTGTCACACAGTTTTAGAATGAATCATTGTGTTCATACAAAATGATCAATACTTGCCACAAAACATGGACCAGTTAAGCAGTCTGTTTTATCATCAGAGAACTTTGTTTCATGCAGAGGGATTTTACCCACTAGCATAACACCTGTCTTTAAAACAGGGACTATGTCCACCTGCATGACAGTTATTTAAAACACTTGTTTCATGCAAAGGGACTATGTGCCCTAGCAGGAGTTTCATCTAAAACATTGTTTTAGGCAATTTGTGCCCACTACCATGACAATGCTGTTTAAAACACTAGCATAAGTCTGCATGGTGCACATAAATTTAGTGCTTAATATCAGAGGTTTACCCAATAATAGTCCTTGGCACTTTGAACCTGCTAGAATTTGTCCAGTTCTTCCTGCACAAGTATAAGCATGTTGCACCCAGTTTAAGGGTTTACAAGAACTAAGTTATGCTACTTTTATAACCTTTTTTTGTGATGTTTTTTTCAAACCTACAGAATTTTATCTCGAGACTTTATATGGTATGTAAATTGTTTTGAGTAAAAAATGCAAAATAAATATCAATAATGAAAGTAAAGATATTTTAAGCCTTGGCCTAAAATTTTGGTGACTAGGTTATCTTTTAAACTAGACCATTAATAATACAGAAGTTTAAATTTAATTTTATTTCTATAAATGAATACATCAGTGCTCAGAAAACAAATACATATCATAAGATTGAAAGAGTATTTCACATGCTAGTAATCTCGTCCAAAACTGTGATGCTCTGAAGAGTGTGTTACACTGCTATTTGAGCAGATAGTTGTTATTAACTCTTGGAAAAGTCATCACATTAGATGAGCTATATTTTATTACTTTGTTTTGAACACAGCTTAAGGCATGTAAAGTACTTAGATTCTTACAAGTGAATGAAAGTACACCATCCACATCTGTTTATGAAATGCCTATAGTTACATTCCTGAATCCTATGGTTTTAATAATCTACAACCCTAATGAATATAGAGCATATATTTAAGAGTGCATCTCAAAAATTCACTTCAGCTTTTTTTTTTTTTTTTTTTTTTGTGTTAATAGTCTGAAGAGATTTTCTATTCAGACTTTCTATAATACTCATATTATGGATTAACTTTTATTATATTGCATTTTAATCTTGATGTTGTATATTTTTTTTTGTATCATTATCTTTGCTGGAGTTACGGAATATTATTACCATTATTTTTATGTGCATTTTCAATAAGCACAAACTTTAATAGTGCAACAACTGCAAGTGCAAATTATTTAAAGATTAGGTAATATAGTATGCCTGTGTGCTATAAACACATTTTGATACGAAACCATGGATCAACCTTCATTGAGGCGTGACTGATGATTGTGGTGAAAATGTTACATCTCAATGAATGCTCCTAGATACACTTACTGGTGGGAGAAATATAAACATGGCTATGATATGCATATTGATTTTTGCGTTATACTGCCAGGTTTACTTGTAAGTTTAAGCTGTCTTGGTTCCTTTCCACTGAGCTTAATGATGTGCAGCAAAGCATTTTTGTGGCCTGTGAGAAAATGTCCTTGTGTATTGAAATGTTTAGTAAACTGTCATTTTATGTATAGAAGAGACTTATCTTAAAAATGTCATACATTGTTCAACAAGATTTATGTTGTGAAAATAATGAGAGTTGTCGAGTGTACTTTGTGAAGAATGGATTGTACAACTGTTTGTTAATGTTGAATGAAGTAAACAACTTGATCACTGTGGCTTTCAGTCTCCTATTGAAGTTTTGCAATTATATGACTAAAGTTAGCTACTTTAATTGAACTTGTGTGACAAGCTACGATTTATATCTTTTTTTTTAACACGGCCGTTTCCCACCGAGGCAGGGTGACCCAAAAAGAAAGGAAATACTTTCATCATCAAACACTTTCACCATACATAATCACTGTCTTTGCAGAGGCACTTAGCTACAACAGTTTAGAAGTCCCTCCACACTGCCAATATCTCAAACCCTTCCTTTAAAGTGCAGGCATTGTACTTCCCATTTCCAGGACTCAAGTCCGGCAAACCAGTTTCCCCGAATCCCTTCACAAAATATTACCCTGCTCACACTCCAACAGCTCGTCAGGTCCCAAAAACCATTCGTACCTAATGCTCATGCATGCTTGCTGGAGGTTCAAGCCCCTTTACCCCTTCCCTCCAACCTTTTTGAGGATGACCCCTACCCTGCCTTCCTTTCCCTACAGATTTATACTCCAAGTTATTCTACTTTGTTCCAAACTACCTCAACAACCCCTCTTCAGCCCTTTGACTAATACTTTTAGTAACTCCACACCACCACTTAATTTCCACTCTCTGAATTTTCTGCATAATATTTACACCACGCATTGCCCTTAGACAGGACATTTCCACTGCCTCCAGCTGCCTCCTCACTGCAGCATTTACAGCCTAAGCTTCTCACCCATATAAGTGTTGGTACCACAATACTTTCGTACATTCCCTTCTTTGCCTCCACAGATACCTCAATGCACCACTTTCCTTTTTTTTTTTTCTTCATCAATTCTATGGTTAACCTCATCCTTCATAAATGCATCCACTGACAAGTCAACTCCCAAATACAGTGGACCCCCGCTTAACGATCACCTCCCAATGCGACCAATTATGTAAGTGTGTTTGTACGTGTATGTTTGGGGGTCTGAAATGAACTAATCTACTTCACAATATTCCTTATGGGAACAAATTCGGTCAGTACTGGCACCTGAACATACTTCTGGAATGAAAAAATATCGTTAACCGGGGGTCCACTGTATCTGAAAACATTCACTTCTTCCATACTCCCTCTCTCCAATGTGATATCCCATTTTTCTTTATCTAAATTGTTTGATACCCTCATCACCTTACTCTTATCCATGTTCACTTTCAACTTTCTACCTTTACACACCCAAACTCATCCACTAACCTTTGCATCTTTTTTTTTAGAATCTCCCAAAAGCACATTATCAGCAAAAAGTAACTGTCAACTGCTATTTTGTATTTGATTCCTTAATTTAATCCCACCCCTCTCCCCAACACCTTAGCATTTACTTCTTTTACAGCCCTATCTATAAATATATTAAAACCACCATGGTGACATTACACATCCCTGTCTAAGACCTACTTTTACTAAGAAGTAAGCTCCCTCTCTCCTATACACCCTAACCTGAGCCTCACTATCCTCATAAAAAAACTCTTTACAGCATTTAGTAACTTATTACCTATACCATACACTTGCAACATCTGTCACATTGCTCCCCTATCCGATAACTTCCCTACCTTTATCTAAATACTATTCACATACATGCTTCAATGTAAACACTTGATCTACACATCCCCTACTCACTCTAAAGCCTCCTTGCTCATCTGCAATCCTACTCCTGGATCATTACCTGGTGAACAATATTTCCCTACAGTGTACAGTGGACCCCCGGTTAACGATTTTAATCCGTGCAAGAGGGCTCATCGTTATGCGAAATAATCGTTATGCGAATGAATTTTCCCCATAAGAAATAATGGAAATAAAATTAATCCGTGCAAGACGCCCAAAAGTATGAAAAAATTTTTTTTTTACCACATGAAATGTTAATTTTAATACACACAAACTGAAAAAGGCATGCACAATTACATGACACTTACTTTTATTGAAGATCTGGTGATGATTGATGGGATGGGAGGAGGGGAGAGCATTATCTTCTTACTGTTTAGAAGGGGAATCCCCTTCCATTAGGACTTGAGGTAGCAAGTCCTTTTCTGGGGTTACTTCCCTTCTTCTTTTAATGCCACTAGGACCAGCTTGAGAGTCACTGGACCTCTGTCGCACAACAAATCTGTCCATAGAGCTCTGTACCTCCCGTTCCTTCAAGACTTTCCTAAAATGGGCCATAACATTGTCATTGAAATAGTCACAAGCACGGCTTGCAACAGCTGTGTCAGGGTGATTTTCATCTATAAAGGTTTGCAGTTCAACCCACTCTGCACACATTTCCTTAATCTTTGAAGTAGGCACAATGGATTCCACAACTGGCATAGGCTTCTCAGGGTTAGCCCCAAACCCTTCAAAATCTTTCTTAATTTCCATACTAATTCTCACCCTTTTTACCACAGGGTTGGCACTAGAAGCTTTCTTGGGGCCCATGGTCACTTATTTTCCAGAAACAGCACCGAAAATACTGTAATAATACGAAATATTCCGAGTGTATGCTTGGATGTTACCGCGGAGGCTGGCTGGTAAACAATGGGACGGAGCGGCACATGTGAGGCTGGCTGAGGGCACATTGGACGCGTCTCGGACGAAAATCGGTATGCGGGTTTTTAATCGGTATGCGCGGCAAAAATTTTGCGATAAAAGTAATCGTTATGCGGAAAAATCGCTATGCGATGCCATCGTTATGCGGGGGTCCACTGTATTATAATCATAACTAAGCACTAAACCCATAAGGGTCATATGGCACTGACCTTAGTGTAAATGATGTGAAAGGCTACAAAAACCTCAATGCATACCAGTACTTTTGGGGTTGGGTATTATTATTATTATCAAAAAAAAGCACTAAACCACAAGGGCTATACAGCGCTGCAGAGCAGGAAGGAAGCGAGGGTATCAGGTGGCAAAAGGGTGAGGGATGAGTAGTAGGTTATGGAGAACAGTGGGTCAGTGGATAGCAAAAGGGTAAATGGCAGCAAAAGATTGAGGTAGAAAGGGCTGAGGGGAGTGCAAAAGGTATTATCAGAGTTTGTGGAGTAAATCAGTCATTGTCAAGAAGTCAATGAGAGAGTCAGGATTAAAGGAGGGTCCATCAGCAAGAAGGGAAGGTAAAGAAAGAGTAGGAGAGCGGAGATGACGTTGGAGGTAAATTCTGCGTGGTTTTGATAGAGAGGGCAGTCTAACAGAATGTGGCTAACCGATATTGGAACCAGACACTTCTCACAGAGAGGAACAGGGCGCCTTTCCATGAGATACCCATGAGTAAGACGAGTGTGGCCAATGCGAAGACGGGAGAGAGTAGTCTCCCAACCTCGACACTGATGACACGAAGACAGCCAGTTACCTATACTCGGTTTAAGAGACTGAAGTTTGTTACCGAGCAGATTTGACCAATGTTGTTGCCAACGGGTGTGAAGGTGGGTAGCTATTACAGCAAAATAGTCCATAAATGGAACACCTCTATATGAAACTGGTAGGTCATATACTGACTGTGCAGCAGTGTCTGCCTGTTCATTGCCCTGTACGTCAACATGACCAAGGCCCCAACAAAAAACAATGTCTTTATGCTTGGTAGAGATGCAGCATAGCTAAAGTTGGATATGGAGAACTAGGGGGTGAGGTGTATCAAATTTTCGTATAGCCTGTAGAGCACTAAGGGAGTCTGAGACAACGACAAATGATGACACAGGCATAGATGCAATATGGATAAGTGCTGCAAGAATGGCATACAATTCAGTAAAAATGCTAGCTGAATAGTAAATGCCCTCGCAGGTTGGGTAACAAATCTATGTAAACAAGCCCTTCTTCACCTCCTTTCAGCCTCAAGCCAATCTAAACTGCCTGAACCTACTTCAAACTTCATCCCAGCTTTCTTGAGGGTGCCGATAGACAAACCCTTCATTCTCTCCTCATTTTACCTAAACTTGACTATGAAAATTAAGTATATTCCTCAGATTCCACTGCTACTCTTCTAAACTTGATCCCATTCAGCATCAAAGGTTACCTTATGTGTCTGGGCTTTTGATTTTCCCCTCAGTTGAAAGCCTGTATTCAAGAAGCAAACACCCCATCTTTGCAAGACTGACACTATACCCATTGTTTCTGCTTTTTTTTTATTATTATTATTATTAACACATCGGCCGATTCCCACCAAGGCAGGGTGGCCTGAAAAAGAAACTTTCATCATTATTCACTCCATCACTGTCTTGCCAGAGGGGTGCTTTACACTACAGTTATAAAACTGCAACATTAACACCCCTCCTTCAGAGTGCAGACACTGTACTTCCCATCTCCAGGACTCGAGGCCGGTCTGCTGGTTTCCCTGAATACCTTCATACATGTTACTTTGCTCACACTCCAACAGCATGTAAAGTATTAAAAGCCATTTGTCTCCATTCACTCTTATCAAATGCGCTCACGCATGCTTGTTGGAAGTCCAAGCCCCTTGCACACAAAGCCTCCTTTACCCCCTCCCTCCAACCTTTCCTAGGCCGACCCCTACCCTGCCTTCCCTCCACTACAGATTTATACACTCCGAAGTCATTCTGTTTTGTTCCATTCTCTCTGCATGTCCGAACAACCTCAACAACCCCTCCTCAGCCCTCTGGATAACAGTTTTGGTAGTCCCGCACCTTCCAATTTCCAAGCTATGAATTCTCTGCATTATATTCACGCCACACATTGCCCTCAGACATGACATCTACACTGTCTCCAGCCTTCTCGTTGCAACATTCATCACCTATGCTTCACACCCATATAATAATGTTGGTATAACTATACTCTCATACATTCCCCTAAATAACAAAAAGAGGCACAATACCGTGACTGGAACGATACACAAATAACCCACACATAAAAGAGAGAAGCTTACAACGACGTTTCGGTCCGACTTTGTAAATGGTCCAAGTCGGACCGAAACGTCGTTGTAAGCTTCTCTCTTTTATGTGCGAGTTATCTGTGTATACATTCCCCTCTTTGCTTCCATGGACAAAGTTCTTTGTCTGCACAGACTCCTAAGTGC